ACATTCACACTCAATATTATTATTTACCTTCATTTATTTTTTGTATTCGTATATTTATATACGATGTTAAAATTATGTTTACGTAGGTATCAAAATCGATGAAATTAATTATAAAAAGTTGTATAATCATTATATTTTTATTTTATTAATTAATTCGTGGCAACATAGACCATTGGGTAGTTGTACTTTACAGATTTTTAACTATGGGAATTGGTACTGTAAGTTGGGAACACGTGTACGTGTGTCAAGGTTTGATGATAATTATTATAATTATTATTGATTAAAATATTGTTGTGTATGACATAATATTCAATTATAATTCAAATACAATTTGTCTCCACCTAATTTTCGATTTATTTTTTAATTTTATTTCTAAGTAATTAAAAAAATCCATCTATAATAATCAGTTATAAATAAATATTATATCTACATCAAATCGTATAAAAAGTAATTTACAATAGAATGTTCATACTATGACCACAATTTAAAGTATCTGAAGAATAATATGATTGGGATATAATGTTTTATTAAACTATAATACTATGAWAYTGTGGATATTATATTATGTAATATTTAGTTATAAATAATTTATTATATTAATTGGTAATTCTTCAAATTATTTATAATTAATTTATTCAAATGTAAGGGACAAATAATGATTCGTCAATTAAACTTTTAAAATCATATTACCGTAGCGGCGGTTAACAATTATTAAGTCAGGCAACGCAGAGGAATTAAATTTGAGTGAGTTTAAACTTTCGAAAGTGGGATAATGAATATGTCATAATGAATTAAATATCCTCTAGGAATTATGAGATTACGAATTAGAGTTGGCGATTCGTAGAAGAGCAATGCTTGCAATTATATAGTGCTGATAATTTAATCTAATCTGCGGAAATGCAACTAAATAATACTAAAAGAAAAAAAAAAAAAAACTAAAATACAGAGAGCGTTATTTGATTCTGTTTGTCACGATGTTATAATAATTGTATAAGACGGTATTAATCGCCGAATTAAGCACATTTTTATTATAGCGTTAATATAATATAATCGCTTGTTTTATCGCTTGTTACTTATCCGAATTCGCKTAATATCGAGAGAATTTAACTGAAACGTTTGTGTCGCATTAAAATTAAAATTATAACACCCAACAACACAATAATGATTTATGTA